ACATGTGCCTGGGTGTGCGGGCGTGTGGTTGGGCAAGGGTCTGGGGGGCAGGATGGAATTAGCATGCTTTCTGGAGCAAAGCTGTGGTTTATGGGGGAAGTGGGAGGGATGGCAAGTTAGCTGACCCTGGGATGGCACCTGGAGTCTCCTGAGAAGCTGCTGTGAGTTCTCACTGAGTCTGTGGGGGAGCCTGGAGGAACAGGAAGGATAAGGGCAGCCTGGTTAACCTACTCTGTCCCGAGCCCAGCCCCCCTCCCCCCAGTGCTCCAGGGCACCAGAGATACAGGTAGAGAAGGAAAGAGCTCCTAGTCTGATGGAGAGTCAGTCTGAAGGCGCCTCTTTCTCTCTCTCCCCTCACACTCCTTTCTGTTCATAAGAACACAGCCGCTGCCCAGGCCCCTCTCTGCCCCAGCCCCCTCCCTTTTCTCCTCTGTGCTTCTGGCTGTCCCAGCTCAGGTCTGTGCCCTCTCTTACAGGCCTCTGTCCACCAGAAGCGTTTGCAGGAGTATTTCTGAGAAGCTAGCTCTTCTCAGGGTTGACCAGAGGTCCTGCTGTGTGCAAACTGTGGGACCCAAGACAGCCCTGGGTCACCCTTTGTTTGTGTTCTAGTACTTACTTTGTGCCCGACACTGTGCTAAGAGCTGTGATCCTCACAGCTGCCTATGATGTAGGTCCTGTGACTACCCCATTTTACAGATGAGCAAACTGAGGCACAGAGCTGTGAACTGACTTCTCTGTGGCTGCACAGCCAGTGTTGGCTGGAGCATCTCCGCCTCTGGGATCTGTCGCTAACTGCTTTTCTTGTCTAGCTCCATGACAGTCCAGTAATATTGCTTAGACTTTGACGTGCAAATAAACCACCCAGGCCTCTTGTTTAAGTGCAGGTTCTGCACCTGGAGGTCTTGGGTGGGGCCTGAGGCTCTGCATTTCTAACAGGCTGCTGGGAGACACCACTGCTGCCGCTCTGGGTGGGTGTCCGATGGCTCTTCCTCTTCCCTCCTTCTTTGCTAAGGACTGGGAGCCGTCTCCACTGCCTGGTGTGCGGGCCCCCACGGCCGCCCCTGCCTTCGACAGTGACCCTGAGGTCTCCGACGCGGATGAGGGTGGGCCAGGGGGTCTGGTGGGCTCCATGGATGTCGTCTCCCCCAGCAGCCACTCCGACGCGCAAACCCTGGCCATGATGCTGCAGGAGCAGCTGGACGCTATCAACGAGGAGATCAGGTGAGGGCCGTGCCGCGTGAAGCCGTGAGCACCTGAAAGTCTCTTACAGATGCTCCTGAGAGTGCGACCCTCTAGGGACCCTGAGGTTGTGGCCCAGCACTGGCCCCAAGAGGCGGGACCTCAGACTGACTTCCCGGGGCTGGGGAAGCTGTGCTCCTGCAGCTCCTGCAGTGGACAGAGGGCGCGACTCCCGCTCACCCAGGCTGTTGCCCTCTTACCACAGTCTCTGGGGGAGGCAGCGGCATCTCCGCTTTGCAGACAAAGGGACAGAAACCAGAGAGGTTAACTGATTTCCTAACGTGGCTCAGCGAGTAGCAGAGCCAGGATTCAGACTGGGGTCTAACCTGCCCCCACAATGAGGCATCACGCAGAAAGCTACCCAGACGGACACTTTTCCTGCCTTGGTAGAGAGTTTGTTAGTGTTTAGGACCAATGGCAAGGGAAAAGCAACTGCTGTTGTTAAACTGGGAGTTTTGTTGCTTTAGCCCAGCTCATAAGAAAGAGGAGACTGTTTCTAAACTGCAGTGGGCTCTGCCCGGCGACACCAGAAGCACATGCCTCCTGCTGGCCTGCTGGGGCTGAGGTCAGAGCTGATGGCCGGGGCTGATGGCTGGGGCTGAGGTCAGAGCTGATGGCCGGGGCTGATGGCCGGGGCTGAGGGTCAGAGCTGATGGTCAGAGCTGATGGCCGGGGCTGATGGTCAGGGCTGATGGCCGGGGCTGATGCTGGGTCTGAACCTCCAGGATGATCCAGGAGGAGAAGGAATCCACGGAGCTCCGTGCAGAAGAGATTGAGACGCGAGTGACCAGCGGCAGCATGGAGGCCCTCAACCTGACCCAGCCGCACAGACGTGGCCCCATTCCCACCTCTCTGACTGCCCTGTCCTTGGCCAGCACGTCCCCTGCCTTCAGTGGCCGCTCCACACTGAAGTTTACCTCGCGCAGTGCTGCCCAGGACCTGGACCGAATGGGGGTCATGACCCTGGTGAGAGTCTCGGGACAGTAGAGGAGCAGCCTGGTCATCACTGGGCTCAGCTCTGGGGGCTGCACGGGCTCCACATCTTCCTGTGGTGTGCGCGCACCCTACATGTCAGGCCACCAGCACGTCCTGGTTCGGGAACGGGCCTCTCCCTGGATAAGAAAGGTGCTCAGGAAGCCCACCTGCCACCCACGCCTCTTCTCCCTTCCAGAGGGGGCCCTGATTAATTTTTCTGGGCCACCCTTTTCTGGTGTGATGTTCTTTTCGGACCTGCACAAGGCCCTGAATCCTGTCGTCTTCTAAGACCTGGGGCTCCCCTTGGGGTGGACTTCCGGTGAGCCTGAGTCATGCTTTGCTCTCTCTTCCAGCCCAGTGACTTGCGGAAGCACCGGAGGAAGCTGCAGGTGAGTGCGGCCTGAAGGCAGGCCCCCTCTGGCTTCTCCCCAGGGCCCAGGGCCTCCCCACTGCGTTTCTCCTGCGGCCTCGGATCTCTCCCTCTATCCCCTGATGGCTCCGCTGTCTGTTCAGTCCCCAGTGTCTCGGGAACAGAACCGAGAGGATAGAGCCGCCATAAAATGTGAGACTTCCCCTCCTTCCTCACCCAGGACGCTGCGGCGGGAGACGCTTGGCCACCCAGCCCTGAGCCAGGAGGACGGCAAGGGGTAAGGGGAGCCAGCCCCAGCTGTCTGTCCCCCAGCCACCTCACCTGTCCAGGTGTCTCAACACCTCACTTTTCTTGAAACACCATCGGGGAGGACAATCCCACGTCCCCCTTGTCACCTGCTCTGATCCCCCCCCC